GTGTTTTTTTCTTCATGTAGATGAGTGATTTCACATGAAGAATGGTTTAAGCATGTTTGGTATTTGAATGCTATTATCATATATGAACGTATCTGTTAGCACTCAAAGTAACAAGTTCTATTTGAAATATTTTCATGTTAAACTGATATAGAATATTTCTCGGATAGGTATCTATGAAATGGATTTTATTTACTTTTTTATTTTAATTATATTCGTATCCTTACATTATACGTTTAAATGATTAAGGTCACGTTATATAACCATGTTGAAATGCTCGTAAGTTGGTAAAACTGGAGCCTGTAAGATAAAAGTATTCACATCATTTCTGTAAGCTCAAACAACCTGGAGATATTATTGTAACGAATTTATAATACAGTGTAATCCATTTATGTTTTAAATTAAACGTCAAGATTATTCCATGTAAATCGAAGTTTCAAACTTTAAGTATTAACAGAGTACAATGTAATTCAATGGGACAAATAATAGTAATTAAGTATTTTGATTTTTTATGCTCGACCATGTGGCGGAAATAAAAGTATATTATTTATGTTAACTTATAAAGATGATTGTTGTTTATGCATTGGTGTTAGTCATACTGTAATAAAATAGATAAATACAGAATCCCTAAAGAAAGCCCAACACGACAAAATTGAAAATGTTGCAGGCTCGGTTTGATTGAGCCTGTTCATGGACGGTACTGGAAAGTGCAAGTTACCGTCAACGCCCCCTAGCACCGGCTTAAGCAGAATTCAACATTTAAACATGAAACAGTAAAATTTTGGATTTAGAAACATCCGCAGATGTGTTCATACGGCGGTTATCATGGAACCTTCAATGTGACACTTCCGTGCCATTCCATGAAAAGCGGCGTATGGTCCCCAAGTAATAAAAAGCGTGTGCCCTAAACGAGAAAACACATCAGCAGGTCATTACAAACTTACATCAAGATTGCAACAAATGAACTTTGCTTGTAACGTCTGCCATATATAATGAGCAAGTTTTATTGCTTATACTTAATTTTTATCAGGATGGAGATAAAAGGCGCCGGAATACTTTTTTGTTTGATAATTGAACAAAATATATCTTTTCAAAACATACCATATACTCGCTAAAACAAATATTAGCAGATTAAAATCATTTTATACGTCAATGTATTTTGCATATGCACTAAGTAAAAGATGTGTTATTTACAAATGCATGTTATTACCCATTCTTGTGCATTCAGTTTGCTACGTATTACTTCATTTAAAATTATTTTCTTTCTTCAAACCCACCCCACAACAGAACACCACTTGCTAACTAGCTAAGTTTATTTTAACCGAAACCCCTTCTTATTTAGAAATCATATGCTGTATTTTGATACAAGTGGTATACACTCAATTGATTCTTAACCTCTTACTATTATACTGCTAATTCCAAAGATTTTGTTATAGTTTTATCTAAAACTCTATAAGCGTCTTGCGTTTCTTTGTCTGATGACTCAGTAAGCGAGGGAAATAAAATATATATTTATTCTAATACCATTTCAATTAATAATCGACAGATAGATAAAGAATAAAGAAAAAAAGTGGTTCATTTATTAATGACAGATTTATATTATATTGAATTGCAGTTTCTTACTCTTGACGAGTAATGCGAGATATAATGAAGAGGAGGTTTAAATCATTCATAACAAATAATTACAAACTTTCTTTCAAATTAGAATATGTATGTTTTCTACAATTCAGGTCAGCAAGATATCTTAACCTTTCATTCTATTCTGTACTCTTTAAACGTAACGCTCTGGTATGAATTAATACCTCTAAGGCATTTTTCAATCACATGGTATATTATTGTCGATGAAATTACGGTAAATATATTTCTGTTACAGTAACATATGTATGTTACTTTTTGAAAGTAATTTTCAGTAGTATCTACATCGCTTATCTGATTTATGATGTTTTCCTGAAACATATATTCGTCTCTTGTTGTTCTTGACGAATGAACGATTGAATGAATAGCCAAAACAATGCGATATTGTGTTTATTTCTTTGTATGATGCAACACACGCTTTCAATTATTTATACAAACAAAGGGTGTTGCTGTTTGTAACATGAAAAATATCGACTGAATTTAGTCAGTTATGGAAAGTGCAAAATGTACTAATATATCATGAATTTATACATATTATCAAATTGACTCAAAGATAAGGCATACTTATATATGCTGTACTACAGTGTAGGGTTTCTCTCAACAATTTTGTACTATTCACAGGGGAAATGAAAAATAAATAATGCAAGGCATTAACATTTGTAAAATAGTATATCTGGAATGTATGGTCTTAAATAAAAAATGGATAATTAGTCTTAATCACTTTAAGTTGAGATGGTCTGAAGAGATTATATAACGCTGCCATCGGTAATTGTCTTTCATTTTGATCTGCTCTATTATTGTTAGCGAGTTGAAGATAAGTAAAGATGATTCCATAAAAATAAAGTGAAATATATTCAATTAAGATGAAGATGATCTTTATACATATGATTTGCGTGGTTTGGATGTAATACAAAAGGCCAAACAGAATCATATTTTAATCAAAAGATAATCTTAATAGGTAATTGATAATATATTCCAACAGTTGCATTAATTAAAACTCACATTGTATTATTTGTCTTAGGACAGACCTGACACATTATTACCTGAGGATATCTGAAAACATTAAACTTTAAACAATGGAATAAAGACTTGATTAAAAACTTAATGAAAAACATTCGACACTTTCAGATGGAAGACCTTGCACTTTATAACTGAACTTAAAATCAAATGTGGGTGACGGTCACATCTGGTGATTTCAAATGATCGCTGATGCTATTCAGACACATTTCGTCCAAAACGGAAATCAAGTCTTTCTTCATTGAGCAATTTAAGAACAGCAGCAGTCCAATTTTGTGTTAAGTAAGAATTTTATTGAGACACTACTGAGACGAAAATTAAGTTCTTGTGAAGCTGCATGTATGGCAAAACCGTTTCTTTATAATTTATTTCAATAAAAATAACGTGATGTCATTGATTAATAATTATTTTATTATCCAATCAGAGTCATGCTATTCCTTTTCCGTGATTGAAAATTGAAAACAAAAATTGTTTGCACATTTGATATTATCATAAATCTGTCATTGTCAAATTGAATGAATAGGTAAATTTACGTAACGATTAGTTTAATGACTTCATATTCACACACCGCACATGATATTAGTTACGACAGTATTTTATTGTTGATGACGTGTTAAAATCGAAATAACATATATCCTAAGCTAAAAATCTGTTTGGAGTGGCCCTGGTGATTTAATGCTGCAAACAGTGATTGTTTGAAGCGATTAAATCAGTTTTGGTAACATATTCCTTCTTAAATAAAAGAAAATACTTCTGTTCAGAAATAAAAGAAAAACCGTATCTTATTATCCTCACTAAATAGATCTGAAAAAACACATTGACATTTGATATATTTAATATATAAGCATGAAACGCATTTTAACAAAAACGGAATTAAATATTGGTTATTGAAATACCAATTTGATTTTTTTCAAAACATATAAATAATATATAAGCTATCATCTTTTATCAAACTATGATTAATCAAAGGAAACAGTTAAGTAGGAAATACGTCCATACAGTTTATTTGCTGCATCAAATGTGATAGATGTTATGGATAAAACACCAATATATCTGTCTGTAGCTTTAAGAATTGCTTCAAACTTAAATAAGCATGCAAGCTGCGAACATCGTCTGCAGTCAACAAAACCATGGATCATTTTGCCCGATTCATGAAAGAGCATGATATAAGCAAAAATATCAATGACAGTCCAGCTCACATGGTCTAGCTTACTAGTTTGATGTTGTGTCAACCTTCAAATTAATAACGGTAAACTTCATAAGACTTGTTTACCGTTTTGATGACAATCACGTGGGAATCCTGAAGAATGTGTCATTTAAATATTTATGAGTGTTCCTGTTTTGGAGACATAAATATTCTAGACACTTCTTTTTCATCATCAGGTTATACGGTGCCATTTTGTCGCCTATGACTTACCCTTGAACTTTGATTGTTATTATAAGTTATTGTTCAACGTTCATTTGTTCATCTTTGCCCTTCAGATGTCCACAAAAATGGGCAATATTCTTTTGCCGTGCAATTGTTTAATTCCGCGTTATGCGAAATCACAATTCAAAAGTGTTACATATGCAGATTCTAAATCACCCATCACCGTGTATATCCTGTAGCACAGAATTTCTAAAATGCAGAAATCAAGTGAAACATGACGCCGTTTCTGTGCAAAGTTATGGACAAATAGTTTTAAATTGATTTACTTTAAATATACAGTTCCGTTTACTTACCGTTTTGCTGTTCAGTCATTGAATTGCATACTTTTGAGCTACATTCTGTACTTTTTTTTCAAAATCACAGGACATACACGATGTAAATATTAAATTTACCGTTATTCTTCTTTGACATAACTTTATTTTCGACAGTGGAAAGATATAAAGTAAGGCGAAGATATAACTTGCGGGAATGGGACTGACATTTAAAACTGCTTGCTGCGCTTCACTTGACTTATTATAACTTACATTCAAGCAATTCTTATAACAAAGAAGCATTATCTTGCGAACACATTAAAAGTTTATGCATAAAAATTGTAATCAAACTTGATTAAATTAAAGTCATTCAAAACTGCTTGCTGCGCTTAACTTGAATTATTATAACTTACTTAATATAGGGAAAAATAATTTTCTAAACAGAAAATGAATTTAACAAGAAAGTATTATAGCTAAATTGTAATAAACCTCCAATTAAATAATATTAATATCTATACTGGCATGCGAGCAGTTCCCGTACAGAAGCAGTACCCGTATTTTTCATTTAAACGCTTGATTTTTACATGCATTCTTCAAAAATTCATTTCAAATCAAGCAGATACATAAACTAAACAAAATCTAAATGTCAGTTTGGCAGTACGTATAAAAAGTCTCATTTTAAATCACTTTCACCTGTGCGTTGCCAAAACGTGACCTTGTTTTATCTGGGGGATTCCGTCCTTGCGCGCATGCGCAAACATACTTACACGTGAGGCATGTTAAAGGGTTTTCCACTAATACCACCTGTTTACAGATAAGAAGGCAATGTGATGAAAACTTGTTTAATTATCAGAATTTTGACCAATATTACTATATAAAATAATTTTATGGCTTTGATGCGTAAAATATCATGCATACAAGCATGCCATCGCATGTGAATGCTTTGGGGGTAACGGTACCGGGTAATAGATACACGCGTTTAGTCTACTTTCTGTTTCCTGAATTACATCTATTTATCTCTTAGAAAATGGTCTGTTCAACAATTATAAATGAAAAATAGGTCCGATATAATAAAATTGTATAATTATAATGGGTTAAATTTTATGTACGGGAACTACTTCTCTTCATACAAAATAATGGATAATTTCTGTACCCCATATGAGGCCTCATAACTAAGGGTTATTCTATGTTTAGAACATGATGGAATTTCCATGATTTGTGTGACGAGCCGAATATTGATGTGTAACATTCAAATTTTGGTGAGTGAGCGTAATAAAAAATAATGTTTAAGTAACTACGATTTTTGTACGGGAACTGCTCGCATGCCAGTACTAGATAATGTTATGACTGTTCTGTTGTTGTTCGGCTGTATGGATTTACGTCGCACCAACACTGTGAAAGTCATATTGCAAATTTCCAGCTTAACTGATGAATGAAAGACAAGGATAAAGATCAAACCTAAAATCAAGATAAAGTTAAAACCTCACGTATTCCCTACGTCAATGTTTCAGGTACAAATGGACATCTAAGAAGAACCAGCGATGTTCCGGTAGATAGCTGGATAAATTCTTCGCATAAACGATTCAAAAGTATTACGCGGGTATTAAACCATCAAAGGTTAAAAGCAAGTGGTTTGAAATCAACACCCTTACTTCTCGGCAATGATATAAAGCCAATAACAGTTATATAAATATTTTCGTTAAAACTTTAATGGCAAATATGCTGTCAAAGACCTTAATTAACACTTCCATTTTTTTACTTTGGCTTTCACTCGAAATGGCTTAAAATAATTAAATGAATTAAAGTTATAAACAACGGAAACACATTTAAGCAATGTTTATAACATAAAAGCATTAACTAGCGAGCACATAAAAATGTTAACGCTTTTCATATAAACCTGTGATTACTATAATCCTAATCAAAATAGATTAAATTAAAGTCCAAATTGCTATGGGTTGTTGTGATTTCAAAAAATTTCAAAATCAAAGAGTGACAGTAAATTCCAAACTTAACACATCTAAAATGTTACTGTTTTTATATTGTGAGATTGCAAAACGACAGAAATAAACAGTCGAAAGAAATCAACCAGTCTTATCCTGTGTAAAACCTAACATTTAGATGGCAGAAAAGTTATTATAATACTAATTTAAAAACTATAATATTTGTGAAGTTCTTTAATATAAGGTTAAGCATGGAGTTAAGCAAAGTGCCCTACAAAAAGGTCTACGCTAGAAATGAATATTCACTTCCCTACAAATGTGTTATGCATTTAGCATAAAACTTAGGAAATTGAATAAAAATGTTATAACTCCTTAACTGTAAAACTATTGAAACCTATTGTCCTTATTATCATAACAATTGACTTTTATTTCCAGATCTTTATCTGATTCAGTAAAGTTTATACCAATTTTGTGACATAATTGACATTTATTGCAACTATAATTATCTTTTGTTTGACTTTGAAAAACTAACGAAATCCCGTTCCAGTAACATGTTTCTAAAAATGAAATTATTGTCATTTAAATTAAATTATGTTTTTCTCTTTTTTTTCCAAGAACAATTCATATTGAATTATATTTAATGTTAATTTTGTTAAAAAGAACATCCAAGACAATAATTATTTAAATTCCCTATGAAATATATTTTATTGTTGTTTGGTAAAGATGACAATAAACCAGTCTTAGTGCAAAATAGCTATAAATAAAGCCAAAGTATGTCAGCGCATACGATGAAGTATACTTAAGTCTAAAAGAGGTGATATTGTTTAGAAAGAACATGTTTAAGATTTCCGTTTATCGGAGCATTTCGATGAACAAAATTTCATTGAAATGAGTGTAAAATACAAATTAGATCTTGTAGTACATGATGTTAAAAACTTTTTATTCTTTTCATATAGATGTTTTTCTTGCCATAAGAATAAATGTTAAATGAATGCTTAAAAAATGTATATAACATTTTATTTTATTTTGGTCGAGATTATCATTGTAATAATACTCAATTTTTAACAATAAACTTTCAAACAATTTTGTTGTCCATTGCATTTGTCAGACAACTGTGTGACATTGTGTGCGTCAAAGTGTCAATGATGAATGCACAGGTAAAAGTAAAAGAAAAAAAACAAAACATTTTTTCAGATTGTCATAGTTATTTTTACGTTTGTATTCTACTTTGCAAAAAAACAACCTTATACCACTCATGGAAAATTCAATGACTTTCCTTTAGAATGTACCTGTAACGATCAATTTTTAAAGATTTATTTTCTATAAAGTCTAAGTCAGATTTTTCAATAAGAAATGAATGCATATATATTAATAATTACATATAATGTAAACACATATTTGCAGTACATATTTTACATATTCTTTGATGTTTGAATATCGTTTTAGAAGCATTATTATATACATAATTATATAAAATTGCACTTAAATTTGGTAACAACCTTTATAACAACATACAAGATCTTTAGATTGAAAGAGTGGGGTATTTTTAAAACTTAAGGCTGCTGCAGTTTTTTTATGTTTTGTGCTTATCATTTTTCTTTTGTCTGACTATGACCGTTATAATAATTTTTTTTAAAATATTAAATTGATTAAGCTTTGCGTAACACAGAGAAACATTGTTCATAATGCCACTTTAGTTATTTTATTTACAATTCGGAAATTCGGAATACAAAGCCAGCGGTGGTCAAAACATCTCAAACGGGAATTAGGTATAAATTGGTTAGGTGAGTCTTTTTAAAGTAAATTGGTTTATGTTAGAAAATCTGTTAATAAATATTTATGTTGATAGTATTCAGTACAATACATGAACAAAATACTATAATTATTTATTCTATATATGGTCATACCAAATAACTGTAGAACTCTATTGACATTCCTTTGTCCAAAAATATTTCATTATATATTTTCATTGCTTTTGTCAGTACTTGAAATATGCAAAATATGACCGTTATAGACCAATCCACTTTAAGCACATTTACCAGGTCAGATTGAATTTTGGATTAGTGATACCAGGCTATAAAGTCTGAAAAGAATTGCTTTATTGATAGCGTTTATTGAAAACCTTAACAAATGTTAAAAGAAGTTACATCGATGGAGTGCACAACACATAACTCCTACTGTATATCATTGTTGCATTTTAATTAATTCAACATGTCTATTTTCATCGCCCAGTTTCAGCTGGTTATTTGTGATTTCCTGTAAGAACCTTTTAATCCTATTTTCACGGTACAAGTTTCAGTAATTTTCAAATATATTTTTAACAAAGTTTTTCAGAAATCTTTTATATTTGAAAATAAAGGTTATTGGTATATAATTGTTATCTTTCGATTACACATAGAATATGATAAACAAGATCAACATGGAAAGGCGACGTTCAAAGAAACGCAACCCCCACACGACCCAGCAACAAGAACCAGTGGCAAGGAGCCCATAAGGAGGATCCCAAACAAAAAAACAAGACAGGGCAAAGGCAGAGCACGGACAGGCTAATCACTAATATGATACATAAGAAATCATTTGTATCTGATAAGGAATTCCAAGAAAAAAAATAAATGATTGATATGAGGATATGTTACGGTGTAAACACGAACTGTTGTTTTTAAGAAAGGAACAAATTAACTTAAACCGTAACAGACAATGCAGATCCGCAAACATAGCATAACTTTAATGCGTTTTGCTATGTCATAGTTGATATAAATCTTTGTTGATACCACAGGAAGAAGACCGTATTGTCAAATATTATTAATGTATTGTCATGTTAAAATAGATCAAAAGTGTTTTCTTCAAAACACTGGTTGACGTCAATAAATGCTTATAAAAGTTCTCACAGCAATATATCTGCCTGCAAATTAGTAATATACGAAAAAGTTCCCCTTCATTCAAACACAGAATATATAATTTATACGTATTTTAGTAAATACTTCATTACCTTTAATGTAGCTTTAAATGCTAAATAAAAGCAACACAAATTTAATCACGGCTCACGGCCCTGTATTCCGACAAGATAATTGGCTAAATGGCGTGAACTGTATGCTAAGCACGATATGAATAACTTTTATTAAAGGAGGAACAAATGACATTTAAAGGTTTGAATATGAATTAACATTTATCAGCAACAAATGACACATATTGTCACGGCAATATTCAGCAAATTGTTTTTATTTGAAGCGGCATATTAAGATATTATGAAAGAGAAATCAGATTTTCATTTAGTTTAGTTTTGCATATTTTATTTTGTTTTAATTTATTTTGAAGGAAAAACATCTGAAAACAAAGTGATCCCTCGGAAGCATTAATCACAACAAAATTACATGTAAATTGCAGAGTCGGTTTGATTGAATCTGTACATGAGAGATAATGAAAACATGCAACATCCCTCACGCCCCCTAGCACCGGCTTGAGCACAAGATACATGAATGATAACTGTTATGCAGATAATAACTCATAAAGCTTTAGAGATGTTGCACTTAACTTAATTTAAATAAATCTACATTTGGAGGATATATCACAGTAAGAACAGTTCGAATGAAAGCAGTTGACAACATTGACAAACCGACACAAAATCATTTGAACTTTTTGCCCTTAGTAATATTTTCATGCTTAGTTTGCACTTTTTGTCCAGGCTTTAAACCAAACTATTTAAGAGAAATCAGCTTGAAACTTCATGGGTGAATTACTCACAAATACTTATTGTGACTTCCTGTGACTTTGCCTTTTAAGGTAAGACCATACTACCGGACACTATACAGAATTGAACAAATTACAATATAGGTCGGAATTATACCTTTAAGTTATAGGAAACCTGTATGCAAAATAATGTATTGCCTATGGATGATCATACCTTAATGTGAACTCAAACGTAAGTGTGTTCATAGGACTATTGTCTTTTCATAACACTTCTCTTGTCCGGCGGGGAAGTTGGCAATCTGTGTCTGCTGCTTGTTTTTCATCAACGATTTGGTAACCTGTTGATGATCCGAGTGTCATGTAGGAATGTCTAATATGACATTTGTAACCAACGCAGTTTCGTTCAGATATATCACTTCTTGTCTGTTTCTGACATTCCAGCCTGCGGCCATACATGGTGAAATGCAGCATCAGACCCATGTTAATGCAGAACTAAATTAAAAGGAGAGATAGAACTTTCTTTAGATATTTCAAAAAGGACATAGACACTGTTATAATAACTTCTACGTAAATGTATACCATTTATTTCCTTTTTTAAACATGGGGTCAGTATTATGTGTATTCTGTTATAGGCAGATAATATGTTTTTCTTATATTTCTTATTATTCTTACATTTTTTTTATATAATAGTTTAGTATGGTTGACTGAAATA